CTCCACTCTCTCTCCCTTCGACACCTCTTCCTTTGTCTGCTGGCCTCCCCGTGGCCCACATTTCCTTTCCTCCGACCCTTCGCCCCCCCCTTCCAGCCCTTCCCGACACCTCCCTTCCTCCTTACTTCCCAAGATCGCCCGCTGCTCTCTTTCCAGCTGTTCCAATCTCGATGGTCTTCTCTGTTCCACCCTCCCTTCCGGGGGGCAGATTTCGCCCCCTCCCTCCCGATCGATCATCTCCATGTCCCCCTGCTCACCCTCCGATGTTCCCCGTGGGGTCTCCCCCTCCTCTCCTCCCTCCTTATTCTCCCCCATCTCGACCTCTCTCGTCTGCTGTTGCTGTGGTCGGCCTCCCTCATTCTCCCCCCTTTCCTCCCTCTTTCCCCGCCCCTGATGTCGACTTTCATTCCGTCTCCCCGCTACCCCCGCGTTCCCCTTCTCCCTCTCCGCACTCTCATGCGTTCTCCGCCGCCCCTGCCTCTCCTCTTCATCATCCCCCTTTTCCTGTGCTTTGTCACGACCCAAAGCCCTCTGCTGCACCTCCCCCTCCTGTCTTCCTTCGATCTCCCCTTTCGTCCGATTCTCCGCGGGGCCACTCCCATTGCCCTGATCGGAGAGTTGCCGTATTCTCACCGAGGGGAGGAAGTGCCCTGTCGACACTCCCTCCACATCGACGAAGCTACCCTCTACTAGGAGCTTTGCACTGATCACGTAATCATGTTGCTGCTCAAATCTGATCCATTCTTCTATCTCTTCTCTCACATTCCTCGGTCTTGCCGGGTCTTCACGCAGTCTCCTCTCTCTATTGTTGAGTTCTCTCCTTGTCTCTTGTATCGTGAGGCAGCCCATGTTCCCTGCCAGGTGGCCATGTCGTCTTCATGTCGTGCACCAGGGTGTCTCGCTAGTGATATGTCAGACCGGATGACGACCATATATCCCTAGGTCGATCACCAACCGGTCCAAACCTATCCTTCTAAGAGGTGGACGTAGGTGGAATGTTATTTCCTCCCTCCCTAGGTCATCCGTTGTTCTGGTCCCCTCGTCGTTCATCACTTCGCCGAAAAGGTGAGCGGCTGTCTCTCGCAAGAAGGTTCGTACTATCGGCGGAGGATGAATAAACTTCACCCACGGGTGGCGCTTGCGCTCCATCAGTCTATCCCACTCGAGCTCCACCGGCGTTTTCCATGGTGCAAAGGTAGCCACATGCTCTTGGCCATTGATGTTGACCTTCTCTTCCTGACAAGTTTCCACCAACCACATTCTCAACATCGTCGATGGTGCCCAATAGAGGATCGTTGCGGGCCCCTCAGCAGTCATCCTCCCCTTGAATCGTCCTCTTGCCAATCGTGGCCATGTGCCCTCCCACTGGCCGACGAGATCTACCTTCAGTTCCCACGAGAATTGTCTCAGCGGACCCTCAAATCGGATCAATACTGCGTGCGCGCGCAGGTACGTGACGTACACTCTCGCCATCTCCTGATTCACTCTCAAACTAATTTTGCCCCCCTCCATGCTTTGCCCCGTTGTCCCCCCTAGCATAAACGTTCTTGTCAGCGCCGCTTTCCGGACCGCCTTCATCAGATTCCACTCCGACCTCCCCCCTCCATTGTGATTGCAGCACTGCATGGTCGCTAATCTCTTGGCGACTCCCTCTCGTCAATACCATGTCCCGTTCTTCTCTGTTTTCTGTCTTGCAAGGTCCCCTTTCTCTGTCCATTACGCACACTCCCACTCGTCGATCGCCTAACGCCCTGACCGGGCTCCGCAATCACCGGCCCTCACCACGTCGTGGGCAGCGTTGCTCTACCCCGCTCTCGGTCACCCACGACCTCGGGCAGTGTTGCTCTACTTCATGCCTTTATCTCCCCTCTTCTACTCTCCTCCTCAATCCTCCGTATGGTTATCCATGTCCCCCCTCACCGCCTTCTTTCTCCGCCCCGTTGGCGGCTTCCCAAACGCTACCTCCTCCCTCCAATCCTTGCGATCAATCCACCGTGTCATCATCCCATGCCTTTATCTCACGCATTCTTCTCGCCTTCTTACCTCGCCGGTGACGCTCCTCACGGTCTCCACTGTCGGTTGTGGAGTCTGTCCATCTCCTCACCCCCCCCCCCCCCCCCCCCCCCCCCCCCCCCCCCCSCCCCCCCCACCCACATCCTCTCTCGTGTAACAGTGGAAGACGATCACTTGCGAAAAGATAAACAAACAACCCACTTGCTGACATTAAACTAATTCATATGACTGTTAAACCAGCAGTTGAGAGGATCCTCTGTCGATGAAGCTACCTTGTCGGTTTCCATCTCCATACCACCATCCCTAATCCCGTCCATGTCTCAGTCCCATGCTGGAATCTGAGTTCACAGTCCTAGACCCAAGTCGTAGACTCAAGTCACAGTCCCAAGTCCCATGCCCAAGTTCCATACCCGAGTTCCATACCCATGTCATAGGTCTGACTGCCACATTTGATGAAGGAGGTTAAGAGATGATATTGACTACACAAGACAGGCAACACAGACAGCAGAAACGACACACAGCAGTGCGTGATATACACCACAAGCAGCAGAAACGACATGCAGAGAAAATAGTCTGGAACTTCTACACACACATGCCATGACGAAAAAATGACAAAAAAAGACGAAAGTCAAACAGCTGTTCGATTCGGGGATGTATTTAGATGGGTCCCAAGTTTCCGTCCTCAGTCTGCGTCCCGGTGTACAGGCCTTGTCCCGTCTCCCAATTCAAGAGTGTGGATTGACAATCACCGTCCAATGACCCAATCCCACATTTAGGATCCAATCCCAGTCACGGTTCCAATTCGAATCCCAGGTCATCTAGCCCAATCCGTCTCCGATTTCCAAGCAAACAGGTAATCAACACTAAACAAGAAGGATTGCAAGCAGTAAAATCACTCCAGCCGTGTGATCCTCCGGGCTTGAGATATATACTTATAGCCGCAATACCATGATGAATAGAATGTCGATCTACACGTATAGGCCACTGCTATTTTGAATATAACATCAACATCAACATGCGCATCTCGAGGCAATCTTGAATATGATATCAACATAGATAGCGGGACGCAGATGCTCCGTTGAGGATAAAATCAACATAGATATGCACACTCGAACGTTTTGTTACAGAGGACGATTTCTAATGCAGGCCTAGACCTAGACCCTAACCTAGACCTTCGACTCAAGCAACTGCCCTGCGTTGCTATTTTGAATATAAGATCGGACCTTGACCAAGACCCTAACCCGGACATCCAAAGTCCAACACCTATGTTGTTTCAACTATAACATCAAAATCAACATGTGCATCTTGAAGCAATCTTGAAGATGACTTCAACATAGATATCGGGACGCATATACTCCGTTAAAAACAACAC